CCAGACGTTATCCCTATCACTGTTGGGGGAAGCCGTGGAACATGTCAAGCACATACTTTATTGCCCCTCCACCTTTGTTATCGAGGCTCGAGCTTGGGACAAAAAACGAAATTACTGAAGCATTTCGCCCTATACGATTATTGTCCTGGAGCGGACCATGATTCGGGACGATAATCGAGAAGAATCTGTAATGTCTGTATCTTGCAATGAAACGACACAATTAACAATTCAACGTTCTGTACACAGTAAATCTTCCATGAGTGTTCCAAAAATTTCATCGATACTTTGTTGAGTCATATTCATACATTCTTATTCATTTATCGCTGCCACGAAGATGGCTCTTTTTCAGGATCTTATGGGGACACCTGGAGAACTCGGAAGTCTTCAGGTTTCTTTCTCTATTAACCCTTTGGGTACATTTGACGAGTGAAACTCGTCATCTGCTTACTTGGGCGAAGTTACGGTGGACGAGTCTGACTCGTCATCTGAATTTAAGAAGCAGGCGTTGATGTTTATGTTATAAACATAAAGTAAGAAAAGAAACCACTTGGCAATGCAAACAATGCCAGGTACCTTTGCATTTACCGACATGTTTTGAAAAATACCACACGGTACAAAATTATTAGACTTTAAGTTGGTTCTTGTTCTATATAAATATTTCTATTTTGTTTCATTTATATATTTACTTATATTTTCTAACTAAAATGCTGTTTCAAAAATATATTTATATCGCCAATATAAGTATATTCCAAATAAAATGTATTACTTTTACATATTAATCCATATAGCGACAAATTAAATCCGTCCCATGGGCATAAAAATCTTCAAATAATTCAGTACTCAAAAGGTTAACGAAACGCATAAGAACACAGAGCCCTCCGGCTTCCAAAGACTGTTAATTCGTCCGAGCGCAGCGTTTTTTTTGTTTTTCGAATTCCTTTTTGTGGTTTCTCCTCCCCTTTCGACCACCGAGAACGCCGGACTCTACAATCTCGAGCAACCGCCTCTCGAACCCCGTAATACGCGTGACGAGCTTCTGGCACGCGTCGAAACCTCCGCTCAACGAGCCACTTGTGTCTGCCCTTGATACCGTAATATAGGTCCCGGGTAACTCGATATTTATCCCCGCTCGTAAATATTGGGTCATTCACGGCGGTTTAACACTGTTCGCCACTCTCTGGTGCCTTTATTAACGAGTCACTCTATTAACCTGAAGGAGGGTGGGTCTTTTAAAATGCTCGAAAGACATAAAGGATCTAGTTTTTTATCCCCTTTTTTCACACCTGGATCGTCGACAGTTGTACACCCACGAGCAAACTCGGCTTCCGCTAGGGGAAAAAGTGACGTAGGTGAAGGCCCTCCTACCACTTGGTAAATTTATTTCAAGTACTCAAGTAAATCGTAAATCGAATGTTAATTTGTCATAAATTTCAATAATTCTCAATACCAAGTGGTAGGAGCATTGTAGAAGCCCCTTTCCATACGCCAATTTTTCCCCTAGCGGAAGCAGAGTTTGCTCGTGAGGGTACCTGAATGGGCCAAAACATGCCCAACCAAAATTCTCTATGTTACGACACGACTGCGCCAGACGGTCAGTCGAAAAGTCAGATTCGCGAGGGAAGCAACGTTGGTATCAAGGGAAACACGTCCCAATAAGAACCCGCGAGACGAAGAGGATCCAAAACGACGCCGGGGGGCAACGATGTTTACGGTTAAAAGTCATCCAACCCGGGCAGAGTATCGACCTCAACCTTCCTCCGGCCGATCCCCCGGTTCTGTGGGCGCGATCAAAATTCAAGGTCACCAGGAACGGGTGGCAGTGGTTGTGCTCAAGAAATTTACCCGTGGTTTCCTTCCCTGCACTTCCGTCCTCGAAATCGGTCGCGTGTACCACCTCCGTAAGACCGACCCGGGGGTCGTCGAAGGTGTTGCGTCGAGTCGCGGGCAAGAAAAGGAGATAACTCGGTGCGGAGTTACCCTGGACGGAGCCGTGAAGCCGTTGGTGAAACACGAAAAGAGAAGAGGATGACTATACGGTGGAAAGAAAAGGATTAAGAAGGAAGGGAAGAAAGAACAGAGGAGAAGACTCTCCTTTCTCTCTGTTTCTTTCGTTCTTTCTCACTGTTCCTTTCTTTCTCTCTCTCTGGCGTGGGGTTGCGCCCACGCCGGTGACGTCACCCGGCGAACGTTGGCAGTGTTACCGGCGATCAAGCGTTGGTGTACCTCAGGCGGCCTGTTCAAGAGGAACGAGGCGAGAGATCGACCAAGAGGGGGGCTACGGAAGAAGAGGACAGAGGGGGGGGGGATATATACCAGTCGCGTGGAGGAAGGGAATCATCGACGGAGAGGTGGAGGAGGATGAACGAAGAGAGAAAACTAGTGAGGAGGAGAAACGGGTGTACGTTGAAAGGAGACGGATAGTGGTGTACACGCGAAACGAGCGGGAGGATCCGCGAGAGTCGGAGAAGAACGGACACAGAACGCGCGCGTGGGTGTGTAGGGAAACGGAGGGGAGAGAGGTGGAAAGGAATGAATGGAAATCGCGGAGAGACACGCGGGTGAGACGAATGATTCCCGAGGAGAATGAAGGAGACGAAGACGGTGAGAGTGGTGTGTTGTGCGTTCAGTCGCGAGGCAAAGACCGACATGACGGTATACCACAACGGTGAGAGAACATTCGGAAGAGAGGAAAAGATCGAAGGGAGGGGGTTGAAGGGGAGGGTCGTATAGGCGTGCAAACGATTGTCGGAGAATGTACAGTAGAGTCAGGTTAAAGTACAGTGAATCCCCGATGATTGCTCGAAGCTGCTCGAACAGCTGGCGATTCTGAAGCCAATGATGTTTGTTTCAGTCGTATATGGTTGTTAGTTTATGAAATATTTAATGTTCAGTATCGGGGAGCCTTCGAACACTCATCGAGGTTTTACTGTAATGCTATTTAAAGCAGCGTTCGGTGTGCACTCCCCACTTCTTGTGCGGCATTGCAGCGAGATCGTGCGTGCCATTGGCTCGCGTTGATATAATATTTCCTGCAAAACAATCGCCACCTTTAGAGCCCCCAGAGCGGTACTTTAACGCGAGCCTACTGTAGGGTGGATGCACCAGTAAATGAACTCCGTGCCACTGAATGGACATTACGTATAAAAATCAGTAAATCAAGTTACTCAAATCATATACAGATGATATTCACACAATTTCTACGCCATTGGTTAGAAAAGTTCATTTATTTAGTATTGTTCTTCCCCGGGTGAAACCTGCAATTTACCTCGGTAATTTAATTAATTACTGGGTCTACAAATTAATTCGTAGCCACAACAATTAAGTATTGACTCAGAATCGCCATCATTTTTTCAAATACGCAGAAAATGATGTGGAGTATTTTCAAGACTAGAACTGTATTTTGTTTCTTTGTAAATGAACAACAAATCTATGAACTAGGGAGCCACGAATTAGTATATACACCTAATACATTTCTCAAATTAAAATTTATACACTCCACAAAAAAGGTATAGATATAACGTGTCAAATATTTATTAATATTATTACCATATAAAATTTCCACTTTACCAGTTACGAAATCTCTTAAGTGTTCATTCATTGGTGCGTTTACCCTACAACCTCGGTAGTGTGCTCAGGGAGGGGCGAAGGGACGGGAGGGGGGCGATGTCGACGACACGTGACGCCAGCGAATCGCGAGGATCGCTGCCACCGTCACCACCACCCACAGCAACACCGGCAGGAGCCTCTGTCGTCACAACGGCAACAGCAGCAGCCTCCTCGCTCGCGCGCGAGCGCTCTCTCGAGGCGAGCGAGCACTTCCCGCGCTCGCCGCTCTTTATTAGTCGACCGTGGACCATCGCGAACAACCCTTTGGCTGGCTCGTGGGCTCTGCCATCCGGCATTCCGAACGGTTTCGCGAAACGTGCGCGCCGGAAGATATCCCTTCTGCTTTAGGAAAAGGAAGAAGACTCGTAACAGGCATCGTTGGAGCGGTTTCTGCTCGATCCTCGACCGGAAAACGCGCGCTGAACGAGCGAACGAGACGGAGGAGCAACAGGCCTCTGCCCTGGCTCTTGTTCAAGAGGAAGGGAGAACCACCGACGACTAAGCGACCGGCGGGCGGCGGCGGAGGAGGAGGAAGACGCGGAGGAGGAGGCGGAGGTGGTGGGAGGGGGAGGAGGACGAAGAGCGAGAAAGAGCAGGATCCTCCAGTGATACGATACCGGGCAGCACGCGCGCCGGCACGTCGGCTTTTATCGCGCGCCAACTCCGAAACTTCTTCGTCTTCTTCGTACGACTGCGAGGCGTACCGCGCGATATCGAACCGCTGTGTGCGTCGGTGTTCCGTTTGCCACGCGACCATTAGTTAGTTCAACACGTTCTCATTACGATGAAACAATTTCTCAAGCCTGTATCCAAGGGACTCTAAAGGGAATCCACACGAAGATCCACGGATAATAAATTGTTCGACAAACAGGACCCAACGGAAAGATTTCACCAAACTTTCTTCCGTTCCTGATACACACATACCGAGAGAAATTCGATTCCGTGTGCCCGCGCTTTCTACCCTGTGCCGCGTCCTGGAGTGCGCAAGCCCGCGAAAAAACCGCTAACGTGCCCCTGTTCGAGTGGAAACTGTTGCATCTTCGAGGGAACTGTAATCAGTGGTCCCGCGAGTGTCTTTGGAAAATCCAAGAGGGACTTACCGTCGGTTCCGACGACCTGTGATATAATCTCTCTTTCACCCTTCGTTGCTAGTCCTATCGAAGGCCCTGACGACGACGGTGCGTCTGTCTCTACGTGTGACGTCCGTGACATGTGCGATAGCTCGTTATACTCTCTGTGGTCATCGTCGACGCGAAGGAAAGGGCGTCGCCAGCAACCGTTGGTGGTACCCGCCGTGCCGGAAGTGGAGTCTACCAGCAGCAACGTAGAGGAGGAGAGCACGTGGTGGACCCGTGGCACCGGGACGAGGGCCGGCGGCGCGACAGGTTGAAAAGATGCTGGCACTGGCGATGCGCCGCGAACACACGACCGGCCGCAGCAATTACGAGCCCGCGAACCCGCTCGCGGGTTTCGAACACCTGCAGCATCAAACCGGGAACCCGTTCGCGTCGGTGGTCCCGTCCTCCGCGTCGGACGGTCGTCTGAGGGAGGCCGGCCCGGAGACCGACGGCGAGCTACAGGAATTTGTGGACATCGCCCAGGTTCAGCAATTGTTGCAGCAGCAACAGCAACAGCAGCAGCAACAACAGCAACAACAACAACAACAGCAGCACCATCATCATCAGCAACAGGTGGCGGCGGCCGCGTCTTGCATATGGGGGGCGGTTTACCCGCCGCCACCCCCTACCCTGGGATACCATCATCATCACCATCATCATCATCATCCACCGCCACCACCCTCAGGTAAATCGATAGAAAAATACTAGTCGACGTTGATCGTAATCAGGGCTTGAAACGATTCCGGAAATAACTGTTTCATACTCTTATATAAAAGTTCCGATTGAAAGAGTTATGGATATATTCTAGTCAGAACTGATATAGAACCTAAAAAATAACTTAGATGGAGGAACCGTAACTGAAACTTATATAGCCTGAAATTTAGGTTCTAACAGTTATTCAGAATAAAGAACCTAAACCGAAATCGTAACAGTTTTCAAGCTCTGATCGTAATACAAGGGTGATCGTCCCGTTGGGGTTGCAAGGCAAGCCGCTTGCTTTGTCGTTTAACTGTCGCCTAGCTACCAGATCTGGATAAAAAGGTTCGAATAACGAATAATTGAGTACCTCAATCGAGTAATCTTTTCCAATTTTTTTAACGAAATAATACTTCCTCGGTAAATCGATATTTGGGAAATTCTTTCGTGTCTGTCACGGTTTATCCCTCGTATAACGAATACAGGGCCATTTCGACCCATCTGTAGCCATTTGAGTATTCTGTCTAGTTACATGTAAACGTAACATATGAACCTAAAAATTCACAATTCCTTCTTCAAACCCACGTACAATAAAAATTCCGCTACGGGTCACACGTACCCAGCATTCATTTGCAGCGTCAGTCCCACACCTTCCAGTGGTTAAAGCTCCAAATGACGTCCTTAGATACTTCCGCGTTTCACTATCTATTACTCAAATAAAATTTGAGTGGCCAATTCAGCCAGCTACTCCTGCTGACTAATATCTAACAGAAAAAGAGAACTGTCAAGGCTGCTCAGCCACCGATGACAAGTTTAGGGTCACAGTACTTGAACGACAAAGCAGGCAACTTGCGTTTCCACCCTAGCAACAAGACGATCACCATATGAGTCTCTCTGTCACGCTGGGTCGCAGAGACATCCGCGTGGACGGTTCTCCAGGAGGTGTCTCAGGATAGAAGCAAACCCAAGTATCCCAGTGATTTATGCATTTGTTCGCCGCTAGAAACTCGATATGACCGCCACGCTTATCACCCGGGTGTATTTTCTTTATAGACTAGATTCTACGCGAGGATGTATCGCCAGCCGTGTGGTAGACCGTGATTTTTTTCCCACGAAAGTGACACCGGTAACGTGTGCTCGCGTTCCGTGACTACCGGTATTGGCGCCCGATCTAAACACTCGGTGATAATCGATCTTTACGAGCAGCACGTGAAAACCTGTATTTCTAGACCGGCTACTAAGTTTCCTGTCACCGTTCCTCGGTGTCTACGCGACTGCCCTACGAGCGTCAACCTGGGCGAAACTTCGAATCACTGGGACCAGGATAGATCTACGTCGGTTTTACCCTCGCGGATAAATACAGGGGGATAGTATCGTGTATCGGCTACCTGTTGATCGAGCATGCTCCTTCGACAATACGGAGCCTAGTACCGTGATCTCGTTTCTCCGTGAAATTTATCTTTGAAACTAGATGCAAGTTCGAGCTTTACGACACCTTCGGGACCGTCCACGCGGTCCACATTCCTGGCAGCGTCGTGAAACGATGTTGAATTAAATGTCTGGCAGGCAGAATGCCTCTCGATGAATCGGGTTATGCGAGTATACAGTGGGTTATCGTTGCAACGAATTAATTGGTTCGAAAACCTCGGTCGTTATTGCGTTTACATATGGGTTTCCCAATTGTTTTTGTATCATGTGCCTTCACATAAACACGGATAATCGGCAGAATGGCCGATCTTATTCCCTCGCGTTCGTTATAAGAGATTGACGGATGTTTGTGCATTTATACCATCTCTCAACTAGGCAAACGTAGGAAAATAAAATATCTGATAGAATTTAATATAGTATTTATACATTATTATGAACATATAATAATATATAAAATCCCTAGTACAGGAAATAAAATTCTATAAAATGTTTTTCGTATGCTGGTGTTCAAAATTTTAAATTTGCACAAATATCCGTCTTCTAGTTATAACATATTTGTTCACTGTAGTATTTTGATGATAACAATAAAAATTGTTCGTTGTAACATATCCCACTGTATAAGGTTATCAAGAGAACCTGTTGCTTTCCCAGCAATCCACGTGGATGCTGCTACGTTTCGAATTTTGTGGGAGGAATAAATTATCTCTTGGATCGATCGATACCACGATCTCCGCGTAATCACCGTCTCCGTTCATCGAGAGGCATCTGGACCAGCGATTTTCCCGCTGTTCCTCGCTAATCGGACTCCAATGAATCGCTTGCATGCTGTTCCGTATGCTTCGCTTATCAACACGAAACGCTTCGCTTCCCGCGATTCCCCGTGCTGGTGACGGTGTACAACACAGGATCGTCGAAAGCAGACGCGTTGAACGGCTGAGTTTGCCGAAAGATCGACGCGATCTTGCCGTCGGATCGTGGACGACGGCGGTAGATCGTTAACTGAAGCTTCTTAAGCCAGATTCACACTCGCAGTCGAAGGTACGATTCGATCACGATCAATTTGAATTTAGACTAAATCTCTCTCATTAGATTACGTGTGATTGATAAAGGCCGTTGCCTGATTTGACGTGATCTGACCGTACCGTGATCGTTAGTGTGAATCCGGCTTTAACCGGCAAGAATCGAATAATTCTAATCGTGGATAACCAAGCGTGTCGACTCATACGTTGGTCTCCCGGATAAACGAAGCCTGATAAACTCGTAGCGATAGAATTAACGATAATGTTAACCGGTGTGATTAATCGCGCGATTAACCCTTCCGACGGTGGGCAGCATTGTTCGGTAGGTGTGAATAAATTGTGTTCTAATTCTGATCGCGGTATCGTCCGGGATTTTGTTATTGTTGTTCTGGGAAAAAATTTTGATCGTCGCTGCGGCTTGTTCGCGATTCAACGATCCGATACACGGCCGATGATCGATCGTCGAACGGAACGACAACCGGTCGCGTCGAATGCTTCGCTACTAGAGACAGATCGTACTATTGATTATCGATATTTTGAATATCGATGCTTTTCAATTGAAAATATGAATATTTTCATACTTTACCAGTAAAGATCGAAATAAGTGGACTTTCCATAAAGTTTCCGACTGGTCGATTTTTTTCCACATTGTTACGTAAGAATCTACCTTGGTAAATAATTGCTCACATAAATTTTATTTAATTATTGTTAAAATATTATTACTTCTAATTTAATTGCAAGTATCGATCGCATTACGCGTGTATCGGTATTCTGGGTATTAATACGTATCGATACGATTCAAATGTATCACTGGAGCATACTTGTTTACTCGTTCTGTTTTCGCGCCGTTAGAGTACGTTCCGAGTACGCGTGCACGCGCGCGCACGCAGGGGTTCGATGCGAAAGATAAGAGAAAAGAGGTCAGGCAACACTGGTCTTCGATCTTCCGACGCGCCGTAATGTCATTAAGGATCCCGACCGTGACGATTAATGAAAGAGGCTCGATCGTCAGTGGCGTAAAAACCAGACGAAACGGAGCCGCCGCAGAGAGACAATGCGAGGATACAGACGATCCGCAGTGAAAAAAATAAACGTAGAAGCCTGTGTGCGTGGCTCTCGATTATGAAAAGTAAATCCCTATACAGGGTGATACTAAAAAAGGGTTGATAACTTCTCTGGATAGATAATACTCATCAAATGAAGAAAAATCTTGACAAACATGGGTCGACAAATTAATATTTTTATTATTAAAAAATACTAATAAAAACTGTCGAAAGTCTGTAACTAAGAAAAGGTAATCCACTGTTCCCATACGGTACGATAATTCCCAAATCGAGAAAGTCAGTCGCTTCAACCGAAAGAAAGAAATGTTTATAACTTCGGAAATGTTAATTTTTTGACGTGACTTTTTTTCATCATTTGGCGAGTATTATCTATCCTAGAAGTCACGAATCCTTTTTTTTTT